CGCTGTATTGCCCTCGATTGATTGGCATTCCAGTTTAATCATTTGAATAACAAATCTATAAACTTTTAGATCCTTGTCAATCTTGAAAATGAAAAGATTTTTTTTCTCTCATTCTCATCTTAAAAGGTCCTTGTGTCATTTTTGTTATTGCAAAAAATGCAAGGAAAATTACGTCTCATCGGCGGCTAGTTATATCAATATAGGGTTTTTGTTGTTGTTTTTTCATTTCGATTGAGGATGGAAATGATTATCAATTAAGATAAAAGGGAGAATAGTGATGCTAATATTAAAGGTAATGAACGAAAAAATAAAATTTCATATTTCGACAATCACTGCTGATGGCTTTGTGAAAAAAAACGAGAAATAGTCAATCACTGGCTGCGAGAGTTACCTGTGATTACTAGTCATATTTGCATTGTGCAAGTCATTACTGCTATGAATGCGCAGAGAGTAAAAAAAAAAACTGCCTATTACATTAACCACCATTTGACGATACCATTCATTTATGTGTATACACCATGGGTGTATTTTTATTAGCGTTTTGTTCTCTGTGTATCTTTTTCATCAAAGATAAAGAATTGACCAAGATTGGAGTATAAGGATGAGGAATATTTTCCTGTGCTGTGTAATTTACGACTGATAATTTAAAAACCACAATAGGCACGATCCTGAGCGAGAATGGAGAAAAGCGGCCTACACTAATTGAGGTTACCTCCTCCCCCCTTTTATAAGGAAAGAAATTTATAAATGCCCGGATAAATGTTGTAATCGCTAATGGCTGTATATTTTTGGTGAAAAAAAAAACACAACAGTGGAATGCTATTCATTTCATAATAGCCTTATATTGTTAACCCAACTTTGGGATGTCTACTTTTAAAAAAAAATGTAGTCATAATTATCAAATAAGAGATTTTTTTGTAATATTAATAATTTACATATCTAGGTAGCCATCTTAAATTGCAACCCATTAATTTATTTATTATTAGATAACAATATTTGTTTTCTACCAAAAAGTGTCAAAATATTTAATTTGAATGTTTGTGATATTGGGTGAATTTGTGTGAAGCTAACTTGCAGACCAATGTGAATAAAAAAAAAAGTATCTGAAACCCTCAGAAAGCCTGACATATTTCAAGGACTATGTACTGAAAAGGAGTGTAGTCGCCTCCAGTCACAAAGTTTCTCTATGTTTTGCTGTTTAACGGTATCTTTAAGCCGTTCCGTTCTTTTTTCCTCTTCTCTGTTGTTTTAATAAAGCACTCTATTAACTCGTCCAGTTTCTCTGTATTAGTTAAAAAAAAAAATGTGCCTTCAGGGTAGAAACTTTGGATGATTGTGCAGTATTGGTACTAATTATACCTTTTTACTGGTTTGACACATTGTTTTGCTGAGTTTGACAGAGAATGTTTTCATTTGATAAAAAAATCATTAAAAATAGTGACATAATTCTCATAACTGTTTACGCAGCCTGTCAAGCCAAATTACACCTGACACCATGCCTGCCAGCCATGGAGATGTGATTAAGTCAGACACCTTCGCTCTGTTTAGGATGAATTTTTCTGATCGCGTAAATAAAAAATATTTATCAAAAAAAACAAAAAAACAATAGGTTATATGGCTTGTTTTCCTGTGCATTCCTGAATTTATGCATGTATAATTTAATTAATTGTGGCCTGCTCTTGTTCTTTTGTCTCCAGCATTGCTATCTATGTATGCCTTGTGGCTATCTTATGATTGAGAACTTTAGTTTTTGTCATTTTTCTTTTTTTTCCTTCCTTCTTTCTGTATTTTTTTTTCTTCTTTGTCCCGGTGGCGTTTTGACCCAACTTGGAGCCGATATGATTGCACATCGTCTACTACTCACAGCGAATTAAATTGTCTGGCTGATGAAGTTTACTTGCCCATTTTCCAACTGGAAACAGTATATTAATAGGAATTCTCTGTTGGCCACTGCAAGGATGCTTCTCGCCAGGAAAAGAAAAATCACATCCTACGGTACAAGCCGAGATTGCATAAAAGGCATCCATCTCGCAGAGGGATTTGCAATGACCCTTACCTACCCAGTATACTCTGATTTAATACCATCGTCTGAGATTACAACTAATTCCCTTAGCCAAAGCCATCCTCCATTTTTCTATTAGTCCTGATTATAAAGACGAATGCCATAAATCCACGCTGGAAAAATACTTGCATTAAATGAACCATTTTAGGATGGGAAGGGGGGGGGGGTATCACTTTCCCAGCACTGAGTACTAGTATGTGTATTTTTTCATTATTTAGAAATAAACCCAATTTTTGATTTTAATCCAAGCCTGGGATTTTGTGCTTGTTGTCTGATTGCATTGGTCTTTGTTCTTATGTTCAGCTGTGCTCTCTGAATTGAGATTATTGTCGGGCCGTAAACGACTCGTTTTCCATGCTATAATTTGTCTGTCATTTCGGGCTTCTGTACGCCTCATCAAAATTGAATTTTACCGACAGACTGGAGGCACTGCAATCTTGTCCCCCTCCTACTTTAATAACAGTTCAGACAGAATTTCACACTGGGGAGAGTTTCTCTTTTGTTATTTTTGTTTTTGGCATTTCATATTTCCAATCATTATAGTTTCACTTAAAACTGGTTGTTGATGATCTGTGACCAGACATATACAGACTTTTTTTTTTTAATACATGTTATTCCACTTGAAATTGTCAAGAGCATTGTATAAGCCATTTTCAAGAGGTGAGGGGAGGGTTTATGATGTGTATTTCCCCTGCACACATACACACGTTAGATTTCTTTATCCACCTGTTATCATTGTGCTGGATGAAACTCTAGCCGCTGATCTGCGCTAATGACAAAGCTGCAATTTGCTTGATTATGTGCAGTAGACGTGCCTGGGGGGAATAGTTTACAGAACTCCGGGCTTTGTGTTGATGTGGGGGTTTATTTAGGCGACTTTGCGCTCGCATCTATTCTGACTTATTGAAGCATGTATAAAAGGCATGTTGCTGAAATAGTCTTCTGCCAGCAAGTTACTTGTAATATAGAATCTCAATAAAAGGTTCATTTGTTTGTTTCCGCTTGGCCTTCTGACTATACCATCCCTGCCTTTAACAAAAAGAAAAAAGAAGTTAGATAAAACAAAAAGAGGGTGTGTACGCAGTGAGTATTGTGGCGCCTCCAAGGCACTGATGCTTAATAATCTCGGCAGCTAAGCGCATTAGGCTGCACTAGGATCTCATTCAACCAGCAGTTTGCAACAGGAATTTTTTTTTTTTTAAACCTGTGGGATACTCTTCTTTGGATGGTGTGTTGTTGTTTACTTGTTAGGGTACATGTTTTGTTTTGGACCAGTGATTTTAGCTGAGACCGGGCATTCAGAATCTCCCCCCCCCCTCAAGATTATGGGATACCCGTTTTCAGGAAACTAAAGTAAATTAGTGGATAGCATTGGTTCATTACTAAGGGATTCATTGATGTTTATTTTGTTGTAGATATTTATTTACAGTTATATCTCATTTTCTGTGGGTGTACTGCACTGGGGCTTAAAACATGGCTACCATATTAACTGCTTCTACTGCTTTGCTAACACCCCGTATTATTCAAAAACTGCCCATTCATCGGCTCAAACTACCTCCATTCATACCCGCTGAATTTGGTGGTAAACGAGCGAGTCGACTGGCAGACTGCCAGAAAGCGACGCCTACACTGGTTGATTTATTCGCCTTCCCCTTCCCCCCCTCACCTGAGTAATGAAATCGTAAACACTCAAACATGGCTGTGGTATTTACCTAATGATTATGTAAGTGATTGTGTCATAATTCAATTATTTCATATTTGTCCAGCGTCCAATAACTTTACTAGGGATAGGGAGAGTGGAGTATAATAAAACTAACAACGATAAAAATGATGTTATGGTAGTTGCCTAAAAAATCAAAACTGGTCATGCAAATACATGTTTTCACATGTTTTTTTTAAACTACCAGTTTATTTAAGTATATTTGTAAAAAATATCCAGGATAAGTTTTTTGTTTTGTTTTTGTTTTTCTTTTGAAAATCATTGAAAAATATTGTGTTGACCTGGTTGAACATGTCTGGTTCATGTTTGCCAACACAATCTTTTAGAATTCAATACCAATGTCACATATGTATAGCCATGAATACTTACAGTTGAATGGAGTCTCATCTCTAAAACTGATTTTTGATGACGACTGACTAGAAATGGCTTGGTTATGTGTAATGTCATGGTTGTCTAGAAGAAAATAAAATTTGAAAAATAAGAAGATTTAAATGTGTCAGATTTTATAGTTCATTTTTCTATAATCCCCTCTGCCCCTCAATAAAAAGCAATAACCCCTATATTTCAGACAATGTGATATTGATTCTCATAGGTTGGCTGGGTCACTCTACTGGGAAAAAAGGGGTGGGGAGGGTCAAAATTGTAAGCTGCTTAAGGGGATTGGTTCATGGACATCATTTTTGTTTCCCTTCACAAAGTGACATGCCCCTCACTGAGTTGATCTATTTTTAGCGCATAACTGTCATAATTAAAGCCTTAAAAAAAAAAAAAACTTAAAAGTGTTTCTAGAAACCCAATTCGGTCATTCCTTTCCGAAAGAGATGTTTTCTTGTCAGCATTGTATAAAAAGCAATACATACAGTGATTGAGTAATTCGCTGTTATTTGCAAAATTGCTGTCGTTATTTGTCGACATAATGGCTATTTGCCAGTGTATTAGCGTTTGATGTGCTTGCTCGGTGACATACATGGAGTGAAAATACTCTGCAGCTAATAATTTCAAAAGCTATTTTCAAATATTGATTGCATAATTATCGTTCGCATATTACAAACAAAAGACAAGGATGAGGGGGAAAATGTTTTGAAGAAACGATTGTAATAAGCAATGATTATATTTTCTATATAAAATAATTAATATCACTTTAAGTGTGTTTTTTCGTAATGAAGTTGATTGAATATTTATTTGGTTTTCATTTTTTCTTATTTCTTTCTTCTCCAGGTTTATAAATGCTAGGCGGCGTATTGTGCAGCCCATGATCGACCAATCAAATCGAGCAGGCAAGTCACCTGTAGTAACTGTTTTCAAGTCACGGAGGCGTAAGTCATCATCTAGTCAGTCACCTGGGGGTCCCTCACCTGGTACGTTGGACTGTTGGTTATTCACTCCAATGCTAGTAATGTTTCCCTCTGACAGCTGGCACAGCTGAACTTTTAGATCTATTTTTATCCGCAACTGAAAAACCCTCCTCCCCACATTTACCCCGTTTCTTTTTCTGATTTTTAATCTTTCGTTTGTTGGCCATTTTGATCCAAAACGAGTGAAATACATTTGAAGCTTAGTCGGCTGTTTGGTACCAGGCAAAGGGGGATCTGGTGGTCTGCCTGGCAGTTTAAAAAACTCTATGACGACTGGGATGATGTTGTTTTTGTTGATTGTTTGTTTACACATTGTGGTTGTTATAAAAATTGCACTTTTTTTGCCTCGTTTTTTGTCCCTGATATTGGTGATGTATACTGCAACAGGGAGAATAAATGTATAGGGAAAATGTCTTCTCATCGCAATAGCTTTTTTTTTTGTGACGACTCTGTCTTTGTATATATGCATGCGTGTCTATATGCGTGCGTTTATGTGATGTATTAAATCTATAAGAACCTTAGTATTAAACTGAGCTAGCCAAACAGGAGAGGCAGAACAGAACAGCAATCATTATCACTCCACGGTTGTTAATATTATAACATGAAGCTCTTGAAAGGGTGGGGGGGGGGAAATAACTGAATAAGAAAATGAAATGAAAAATTCAATACAAGTCATATTAACTAAGACATTAACAATTTAGAGTTGATACAGCGATGGTGACGATAGCTTTGTTTAGTTTGACATGATTCTGTGCAGCAACAAATGCTTTCTTTAACAAATGTCATCTATTCCCTGGCCAAGTCTGGGGGGAAATAAACTGCCTTTTTGGCTTCTCCCATGGTGGCTGCATGCCGAATAGCTTCTAGACGATTCTGAATTAAAGACCTAGGCAATTTATTATGCCATAACCGAACATCCATTTAATGGATGTTTCAACCAGCCGCGGCAGGGCTAAAAAAATGCTTTAATTTGCTCTAGTAGGTAGCATTAAAAAAAAAACACCATGATTCAGACTGCTCATAGTGTTGTGGTTGCATGTATGAACACAAGCTGGTCAGTGTCTGGGCAAGACTGTGGCCCAGTTCGGCTAGTATTTCTTCCACACCCAACCTTTCAATGTATTTAGGCTAGCATACTTTAAATACACACAACAAAAAAACATGGGGACAGATTGATAAATGATTTTTCTATGCAAATTAGTTCTGCTGTTAGTTCTCTGGTACCGAGCGCATTAAGACTTTAGGAGAGGGCGCTTGCTAAGATGATAAAAAAAACTCAGAGCTAACTAATTCCAGAAACTGAAAGTGGCCTGTTTTGAGAACAAATGACAAAGCCAGGAAAAAATATTGAAATTATCTCAATACATTTTATCCGGTGTACACAATAAATTGAAGGCAATGTCTTGCAGTGAGCAGTTGTTCTCTCTATCTGTATTATTAGTATTGTAAGAGTGTCAATATGCTGTGATGTTATATTAACTCAGTTGTTGTCTTGACTTGCTGCGTTATGTTCTGTATTGTAGCCCAAGGGGTTGTCTTAATGGTACATGTTCCCAGTGCTTTCTCGTCACTATAATGAATTACTAGTTTGGCTCTATATTAAGCTGCACTTTATTGTACAGCGGCGCATGTGATTTTTAAACACCCCCAGTTTTGTCATGTATTGCATGCTTACTTAATGGTTATACTTGGATTCTGATAACTGTTCTGGTATACTTTTTTGTTTTGTTTTGTTTTTGCCTTGTGACCACTGTAGATGACTTTTTATTTTATTTTTCAATGTTTATATATATTTTTTCAATTTCTTTTGGATTGCAGTGGGTGCAGCGGGTGCGCCGACGTACAGTCCCGAAAGTCAAGGTTTAGGTGGTTACATGATGGATACACCGCAGCCTATGCATCTTCGCCAACCTGGTAATGATTGTGACAATCAACTCTATTAAAAGGTTTCTAGTCTTCTCTCTCCATCCATCCAATTATTCTGCTATTTTATAATAATTATAATGACAATATAATGATAACAGTTATGATAATTATAATTAATAAATAAATCTCCTTGCAGCGCTTAACATTCCACTTCATTTTTCCTCTGTTTTTTGGGGTTGGTGGGCTACGTTTGTAAAATTCTTTTTGTAAGACAGTAGCATCATTTCACAGTCTGGAACAGTTTTTTTTTTTTTTTTTTTTACAATCTTTCTTCTTCTTGGGTGGTGGTAGTGGTGGTGGGACGTGCTCGAGCAAGAGAAAAAAGGGCCAAGAATTGTTACTAGCTAATCAGTATTTGTTGTCCAATCCTGCTTTATAATCTCATACCAACTATTTTTTTTTTATTTTGAAAATATGCTACTCTGTACAGAATTCATCAAAACTCGTCTTCTAAGGGGCTATATTTCATGGAACTCCCCTATGCATACATTTCTATTTCCTTACAAGAGTTGTCCACATTTTAAGAGCGTTTCCTAGCGTAATTCCAAGTCATATATATAATCAATGGTTTGATGTTGCATTCATTGGCGAGAGAAGGACAACAAAAAGTAGTGGTTAAAAGCCTTTAAAAATTTAACACCCCCCTGCAGGCCTTAATTTGTGTATTATATGACCAGAGACAGAATGGGGGGAAGCCATGCTCGGGAGGGTTTTTTTTTTTACATCTGTAATGGTGATTACCAGCAAAATGGATTAGCTTTAGATTTTATTGGCCTGGCATTGCTGTCCTGCCAATCTTACTTTGTGATGGGGTGCAGATATCCGACCTGAGTTCAAGGTTTATTAAAGAGCTGACTTTTACAGTTACTTTCAGCTATTAAAGAAATGGAAATTATGCTGGCTAAATTAGATTGCGTTTCAGCGCTACATGGGATTGCTATCACCGTCATAATGCATGCCAACCCTCGGGCTAAAATAGATCAAAGCCGTGGATTATATGCTGAAACGCAGACAATAGACAATACCTAAGTGATAGTAAATTTATTAACAGTGGAAATTGACAAATGACATTTATGACGTAGAGAATTTGACATTTGTCTGTACATTTTTGTTTGCATGTCCTTGCTTGTTTTATTTTCGTTATGTTTTTTTTTTTTTCTGTGTGCGATTCAAGTCACTGTGGCCCACTAAATTCATATAAAACTGCTTAAGAACTCACAGGTGCAGCTGGTAAAAATATACCTGCTGACTGTAGGGGGTACTAGGTAGATATTCAAGCACAGGTCGGATTTAAAAAAAAAAAAATTATAGTGTAGAAGAGTGAAAAAATGAGGTAGTAAAAAAAAAAAAAAAAAAAAACGTGAGGATTAAGTTCTATCATAATGATACATGACTTAGCATTTGCTGGATTGAACTACTGACATCAGTCTGTCTTCTCTGCCTGCCAATCATTCCTCTTAATATGCTTCTGTCAAAGGATGCCTTCCTGTCGTCATGGTAACTGTCTCATGATAAATTATCTTTTGACTTCCACTGTTCTGAATATTTCCTTCTTTTCTCTGTAATAATGGTGTGGTTTAAGTGGCAAATTGAGGATTAATTCAATTCTTTTCTAGTTGTTCGATGAAAAAAAAATTGACTTCATATATAATCATTTCTCATATATGTTTTTTCTCTCCTCTTGTTATTTTTTCTCTTTCTAGGAACGCAGGGCATGCCGACAGATATGATGTCACAGTCAATGTCAATGTCAATGCCGATGTCAGGAGGGGGAGCACCCACTTATTCCCACTCTCAGATGTCCCACCACCAGCTTCATCCGCAGGTGCATTCGCAAGCCATGTTAATACCCGGTCACCCCCACGCCATGATGATGGCGCATCCAACCCACCACCCTCACGGAATGTCCGGTCTTCAATCAGCTCAGAGTCCGCCTTCATTAATGAACCCAGGGGATATGAACTCACAACAACCCGTCATGGATATACACACTAATTAACACAGGACGGCTTTATTACAATTCAATGATTATCACCGTGCCAATGCTTTCAGTGTTTTTTTTTTTATTTAATCAAGATTTTATGCAGATCAGCCTCACTTAATTTGAATATGCGCCGTTTCAGACAAAAATTTACATCTGTAACCGGTAGTGTCAGGCTTTCACTCACATTTAAACTCTTTCCCCCCCCCTCCCTATAAAGTGGATCAAACCACCCAACCTATAAAGCAAGTGAAAGTTCTGAGACTGTACCAAAATTACAAGGAATACAGGGTGGGAGGCTCGAGCTGCAGAAGCCAACAAAATAAAAATAAAAAACAAACTGAAAACATTGGCTCGGTATAATCCATGTACATATACTTTGTGCTGCATTCTGTAGGTAGCTTCAAGCATACAGTGAACAAATCAACAAGACAATGACGCAACAGTGCAAAGTTTGATTGCAAGGTTACGCTTTCCCATTCATTCGGGAAATCAAACAGGTTTAGAGCCAAAGATCGCCGCATTTTATTGAAATGTACAATAAACTTTATTCTGAGTGTCTTGGATGCTCTCTTGTGTGTATTAACAAACAAACAAACACCCACCTACTTGTGTTATTGTATAGCTGTACAGTTTGTTGATTGGAGTATAGACCCTGTGAGGGGAAACAAACTTTCGAAATAAGGGTATTTTTGTCCAGTTCTTTGATATAAAAGGAATGGATCCAACAATTAATAATACATTGCTAGGGTATTTTTTTGGAAAACCATTTCATGTGCTTCAAATGTTTATTTTTGCTGTAAAATTAGTAACACACAATCCTTCTGATGTTCATTCTGAATGACAAGGAAATAGTTTTGTCATTGTATTTCTGCTTTGCAAAAATGGATTCTGATTGACTGAAAAAGCTGCGTTTATCCATCCCACCTGTGTAATGTACATTCAAGAAGCATTCCCCCTCCAATGAAAAGACAAGAGTTGTTCAATCAATTTTTCTGACGAGTACATGTACAAATGTTTTTGTTTCGAAGCCCTGATAATTATAAAGTACTTTGAATAAAGTATTTTAAAAGTAATATAAAGTACTTTCAATATGCCAAAAATCCATGGCAGGGTAATTTTAACTGAAAAAAGGCCAGTTTTTGTCTTTCTGATGGGGCGGGGGTTTAACTAAATTAACAAATTGATCATTTTTTATGTAAATTGTTTAGTAGTAGATATTCTGTGTCATATTAGATTATTCAGTGTCCTGTATTTTTGTGCATTTTTTGTATTGACAAAAAGTACAAGTCTCTTTTTGTTTATCTATGTTTTTGTTTGTTTACATCTCTTTAGTAACTGAGCAACAGTCTATGCAGGAATAAAAACAACTGCTAGGTATATTTTTCTTTGCTCCACTAATGGAAACCTGGCATGGAATGGTGTGTATCACATCTGAAGACCGAATTCAAATTCATCTAAAAACAAAGATAAATTTGTCTTGCTTAATTCATTCAAATGATTGACCCTTGAACAATAGTACCTAAACTTTTATCTATTCTTGGGATGAATATCTGCAGTTTGCATCTTAATTTTGAATAGTTCAAGGTTTAAAGTTCACAGGGTCAAAAGTAAACTAGTTCCCAAATTTGTCAGGTCATTAGATTTGTAAAATTAATTTTTGAAATCGTTTTTTTTTTCCTTTAAATGAGCAGCCAGTTGACATTTCTTGAAATCCTTAATTTTCAAGACTGATCAGTAAATTTCTTCTCACAATTTATCAGATAAAATTTTAAACTTTGAATTCACAGACTCATAATTTTGATTACATGTAAAATAAACGTAAAATGAGTCGAAAAGTGCAATCTGTCACCACTAACTCGTACTTTTCAAAACTGCCAAAATCTTTCTTTAAAAAAATCAATAGTGTCAACTCTACTAATGTTTAGTAAGTAAACTATAATCATCAGTACTTTTGGTCTGATCTGTTAAATTTGCAGGTGATATAACCATAGCGACAAGAGACAAAGCAAGATAATTGTTAACTGGCTGTTCAAATGTTTATTGCTCAGTTACATCTTATTTTGCAGATGTAGATTACTTGACAAACATTTTGTGTTGTATAGATCTATAAACTATATGTACTTAAAACAGTCCGCAATACCCCCCCCCCCCTTTCCAGGTCTTTTTTTCTACCTGCCCTGTTTTCTCATATTTGCCATATTTCACTGTAACTGGAAGAACAAACTTTTTTTTCCAAAAATAAACTCTGTTTTACCTCAATGCTGAAGAGCATATTTTAGTCAACTTTTTATTAGGGTAGTAAAAATGTGAACTGCATTTTGACATTCTGATGATGCGTGGAGACAGTTCTATGACTTGAGGAATGAAATACAAACAAACAAAATAATTTTGTGTAACAAACTGTAAGAGGCTGCCAATGTAGCTTACTAGTGAGTCATTTTTAGACCACCTCTGGTCACCACGACAACCAATCAAACACTAACAAGAGATGAAACTGTTCCTTTTTAAAGCTTTTATTATAATTTTAAATCTAAGATTTTATATACACTTCTTGAAAAGGAGATACGGAGATATATATACACACTAATTATTTGTATTGTATTTTATTGAAATTATCCTATTTTCTTTCCGTTTTATTTCCTGACAATCTCCACTGCGGCAACTGTTTCTGCTACCACCCCCTCTTCTCTCTCTCTCCCCATGCTTTTTCAGCACATTTCAAATTTGACTTCATTTTTTAGAAGTCCTCGGTAGGAGAACTGCACAAAGTCGCAATATAGGTACATTTTTATTTTAGTTTTATTTGTCGTCCCCCAGCAATTATATTGTCCACCGATCTTTTTTTTTTGTTGCAACTATTTTGCATTTTGTTGTTTGTAAAATGCAGGAATTTGTAAATGAGAACAAAAATCTATTCTAATTAAAAATTATTTGATTTTTGCCGCAAAAAATATACATAGTTTGTCTTGTGAGTTTGTATTGAGTTTTATGTGTGAGAGTCAATGAGCTGGAGAGGTCAGGTGTGATGAACGCTAAATACGAACATCTCCCAACCCTAGTTGCTAAATACTGATAGTAATATTTGGAATTTATTCTACAAATGTTGTTAAAACAATGAAAATTATGAAAAAAACAACAATAGGAATCCGGTATATTTATATAAATGAGTGTGAAATATTCGCTTCAGTCAGTGTTGACTTAATTCCAGCTGCGTCTCGTGTTGATGTGATCCGTAAGTTCTGGGTTGTTCATTCCATACTGACCACATGATCTGCTTTTCCAAGGCAGTTCGTTCGTTTTGGAGAGAGGTTTGGAAAAGACTTGGTTTATAGTCGTGCAAATAAGAGAATTCCCTATATGAGTAATGTACTGTCTGATATACCTACTACCAGCATATACTGGGAAGTTTAAATTGTTTTTTTTTATACGTACTCGAATCGTGCCTATATATTTTCTCGCATTTTTGGGGTTGGTTTGTATTATATATATACACACAAGTAGATTTTCTTATTGTAGAAAGGGATTCCTAGTCTGCACAATTGTTTTTTTTCCGGTGTCCACTATAAAATACCAGCATCATAGTACACGCTGCTACGTGGATTGACAACGAGGGAGTCGACTTGTCGAAACAAATCCACGTGTGTGCGGAATCACGTTTATACTTGTATGAGTTTTCCGGCTAAGCTGTAATTTATTAGAGCGATGTATAATTGTTCTAGGCAAATTAAAACATCCAAACTCCTGTCCCACACGTGGCAAGGTCTTCAACAGTTGTGGGAACACTCTGGATTTACCTTGGGGATGTTGGTTTGTCGCGAAATAATTGTTTTCAACTATTTGTATACCCTTAAAAAATATCGACAGCTCGCTTCCCTTTGGCCATGATGACACACGGCTTCAGTATTCACATGTATTCGCAGGACACCTGCCTTCCCTTGGGTAATGGTGATATGTGACATATACATGTGTACAACTATATACAAGTCATGTAGGACCATGCATAATAATATCTTTCATTTTTAAAATTTTATTTACAAACGTCGTATGTGAAATATAATATGAAAACAAATCGAAATGATAATGTTAGCCATAAAATCGGGTTGGAGTGGTGTTATTGGGTATATCAAGACACGCAGACATTTTTTGTCGTCAGACAAAATGACTGGAACCACAGTCTGTGGCGCGTCTGGTTTTATAGTCTTTACATGTAAGTTATCTTAAATGATTGTTATACTACACGACGTGGTGACACTTTATTACCGCCACTCTTCCCGCGTAATCGTTACGACATTAGGACAATTGTCATTATCATTATTTCATCCTATCGCGATCTAAATTGTTTTTTGTTATTAGATAATCATAACGATGAAAGAATTGTTCTTACAACATTTGATGTGCTGAGTGAATGCCAGTTTGCATTACACTACTCCGTAATTGTCATGACGACAATTTATACAAAATTAGGATCCTTTCAGTTTAAAATGTTTCAAAATATTATGCCAACAAATTTATTTATGAACAATGAGCCCTACCACGCGGAGTCGACGGACTGTTGTTTTTTTGTGGAGGTGAGAATGAAACCTGGAGTTGATTTTTCATACAATTCTGGAAGGGATTATTATGGAGAGGAATAAGAATTGTAACATATCTCAATCCGCACTAAATTAATGTGGGTGACAAAAACTTACTATTTTACTAAATCTTCACTGTAATTAACTCTATTATTTCACCCTTCATCTTTATAAATATTTGTAAAATTCACAATTAAAACTAAAACGAGAGTTTTATATTGGCCGATTGAATAACGTTGGAACGCTATATATATATACATATATATATACATACATGTATATATGATTCAATATAAAACAACAATGAAAACACAATAACACGAAATTGCTTAAAATGCATTATCTAAACAATTCATATCTGCGTGAAATAAGAAGTTGGGTTGAGCTTGGAAGTAAGTGTGATGATACAGTGATGAAAAATACGAGTTTTTAGATGAACAAATATTCAGTGTACAGTGGTTCCATATATGTTTTCACCTTTAATTATTTAATTAGTTCTCGGGCACCCCACATTATACTCGACGTCACAGGACTCATTTGTTATGTACGATGATTTGTTGTGATTGTTTTACTAGTCCTCCCTGCTTTGAGTGTATGTAATGTATAGTCATTGGTGAATAATGTGACAACATCCCAGTGAATATATTCACATTGTTATGTACACTTCTATTCGGCATATCCCATATACGTATCTTGTAACTGAACTCAAACCTGAAAGTCAAATATAACCATGAAAATGTTAATAAAACTGTCAAGTTCCATTTTTTCTCAGCTTTATGTGTATTGACATACAAGTTGTATTTCATGCAATTGCGTCCGACAGCTAGCATATTGAGTAGCGGTCACATTAAAAATGAAGACGACGTCAGCCCCCCCCCCCCCCGTGTAAAATGTGTACGACTCGATGCGTGCATCGTAACCATGACATGCAGTAATGTATAACACGAGGTATGTTTTAATAAACATAATAACGCACGAAAACGAGAGAAAGCGTCACTCTACTCCCAACTATTGCAATTAAACTTAAAATGTCAATTTTACGCGTGATGTCGGTTTCAATTAAACCCCATACTCTCTGTATGACAAGTTCAAGTTGGTCGGGGGAAACTGATTTCTAGCGGTCTGTATTACTATATTTAACATGTCCTATTCCATTGTTAAGCTGTCAATTTTCAACTGTCTTTTATTGCATATTTATTCTATAAAACGCTGAAAGTGCTGGAGTGGGCCATCCTGTCATTTGCTTATTTGTATTTTAGTGGGGCACATATTTGGTCGGCGCTGATGCTTTATGTATTTACGGTCAAACTCTTAATGTACGGTTTACCCGAACCAACCTTTGATGTGATCGCGGTGACAAACATTAGTGTCGATAGTTCGTACACCATGTCGAAATCTGCTTACTTTTTATCAAGATAAATTACATCATTGTGCCATAAACTTCAATGGTTTAGTGGAAGAGATTGCTGCAGTTGTCATGGAAACAGGGACATTTTATTGTCGCTGGTCACGGTACACTCAACCATCACCCGGAAAGTCTACGCTATAAAAGGAAGAGGGTCAACAGATCAAAAAAATGCCGTTGACAAATACGACTGTGTTTTATTATTATATTGGGCCCTCTTTTTTTTCAGAAATTCGGAATTTGTTTCATCTTCGCGATCTGTAAATAGTAGTGTTCAGCGTCTAGAACAGCAGTAGACGCCTACACACACTCTGGGAGGCCAATTCTAACTCCTCCCAATTATATTGCATCGCCACATGTGGATGTCCCTCCCTTATTCTCGGATCTTGATCTCATCCCTCCTATTTCAAACCATGGTGACATCAGTGTCTCTTGCACCGATGAAATTTACTGTCGACGCGTTTCATCTAACTCCCGTACCATAACACACACAATTCGCACAGAAAAAAGAGTGTGTGTACACAGGCATATATCAGTAACAGAGGTGGTAATTTAATTTAAACTATTTATTCACTATATTTACGAGACGTGTCCATTTGTCCCAACAAAAGAACGTCGATCAGAGACCATAGTATCCGGGAGAGTTGTGTCGTGCTGAACATCGAAGGGCATTAAGAAGTCTTCCGTTTTACATCGAGCGCGATAATTGCGTGATATTGACACATAAAATTAGTCAAATAAATCCTCCGGCACAAAATATTTCTCCGATGTTATTTTTAACACAAAGTGGCTTTTACGTAGTGCTTTGAGGTCCTTTCTGTCATCTGTTATCCTGTCTGTCACGTGCGCATCACGGTGAATTTACCGCAGGACCGGTGTTGTGACGAACGCAGACGTAAGGATTGAACTTCGAACGGTGATTTTAGAAAATGTTTGAAGTGGGCGGTTTCAGTACTTAAAAAAAACGATTGTGCCTCCGTTAGCCAACGTTTAGTGTATTGGTATGTGCAGTCCGATCTGTACGGATTGCAACGGAGGGCGAAATCCCCATGACAGTTCATTTGCTTACTGGTAGTTTGATTCATTGATAACAACTTGGGTTGAACTTGATAACCGTCGACATTGCAGTGTTTGGTATAATGCTTAGTTAAAACTAAAATGTCGTATAAATAAAATAAAGTAAAATAAAATAAATTGAATGTCCCCACATATTTATTCATGATGGAAACAGGACAAAGTTTTTTTAACGAAACTAACCGACGAGAATTTTCTAAATTTGACAAACAAATTTACCCCTCTGAAATGATGAAAATACTAATATTTCCTGTTCTGTTGTATATGTCATCTGTTGAAAATCGTTCGTTGTCTGTAAATATTTATATCTATTTACCAGTCTACTGCGCCACTGTGTCAAAGATACGATGAACAACGTGGTGTCCCAGCAATGTAACAACATAGTTGGCCTCAAACGCATCCTTGTCGAGCGGCGTTTACCCGACCTAGTTTCTGCACACTGGGACCTACCGATTTTTACCACAGGTGCCTGTCGTCGATTTATCGATCGCTTAATGCCCAATTTGCGGTCAAAGACTTGTTAGCGGCTGTAGGTCACACTGCACTGACTGGAACTAGCGTGGATGCGATTCATTAAAAGTTATAATACCGGATCAACGACACCCAGGAAACGGTAATCCCCTTTGAATTTAAAACACGCGATCGATAGAATGTAAATTGTTACATTTATTCTATTAAATCTACATTTCGTGCAGATCAAAGTCTTCTCAAACGTACCAGTTCATGCTTGGTGCAGGTTTTCACTTTCATCCGAACGTCACGTCATCGTGATCTCCGGTGAGAATCCGCTGATTGTCTGCATAGTGATGGGTAACAGGTGTTCTTTAACAGCACACCAGTATCTAGCGCTAATAGACATATTGTAGTGTCAATCCTTCCCCAGATCTACAATTCTATTGAGATCGGTGATAAAGAAGTGTCATTTCTGAAGACGGTGTTGTGTATTTCCGAAATGGACACCTTTGAGTGCGTAAATGCTGTCCTCATCATCATGACTCAACGATCTAAAGCCACTCAAGACATGTGTTAGACGGATTCATACTCACGGTAATTCGATCTATGTTATTGTGGGGCAATTCAATATACCATCACCCGTGGAATAAATAAATATTGTCCCAACCTTTAATTTTGTCTTCAAAATCAGTGTTCTATGTCTTCTAGGGGATAGGAAAGGGTTGTATTATTTTGAAAACTTAGAAAAAATATAGTATCACGTGTATATTTATCTGTAATTGATATTATTTGCAATAGTGTTGCTAAAATACCAAATCGTGCATTGAAGCATTTTATAGTAAATTAATACTTTATTTCTCACACTAGCGAAAATATTGAACATATTAGTGATTCCAGGGAACTTAACAAGGGTTAAGAATTTCCCCCACAATTACATCACTTCCACAGACCGGCGGATATCGCAAGCACTCACTACTTTTCGCCGATAAAGATGCTTCTGTTTAAAAAACTGAGAACCTGAAATAACCAAGCATTAACCATTGTGAACTGACAGAATAGTAGAAATGTTCTGATTGACGTTTTAATTACTCCAAAGTACGTGACACGGATTCAACCCGTCAAATACGCTTAGAAATGCTTAATTTATCCTCTTAGTTTCACTTTTGTCATGCAAATAAAAATAATCACGTTCTAGTAGTAATAAATATTTCAGATATTTAGACTGATTATACAAGTGTTCAAATTTTTTCGAGAAACCTGAATTCCTATTATTGGTGATTGTGGGAGTGTTAACATTGGTTTTAATACCTCGTAGATTACATCAGTACATAACACGTCCAACAGAACTGCAATACATTACTAGGAATTGGGATATATCCCTCATATGAAAGAAACTTTAAATGATGTCATATTATGTTTTCATAATATGAGATCCGGGTCGTGGGTTAACCTACAATCCTGTGAAGGGGTGAGACACAGTTGCAACCGGGGAACTGAAACCGCTCACGTGCATAAATGATAGAATCGTACTCCGTTATCTCGATTTTATCTGTTTATAGAGATACTGAATACTAGAGTGACAATAGAAATGGACAACAGTGAAGTCAGAATGACATGGGGGTACTGCCCCCTCCCCCTCCCACCTAGTAGAACACTAGCAGGTGCGTTTGATCCTGTCTAGCGGCTTTGGTAACCTCTTCGCCTTTCCTGATAGCTCTCTATACACCTGTTTGCTTTACCTTGTTCGCCAACACATACAAATTATATACACTCACTGTAAAGGGATATTTCAATAAAAGACTTTCCTAGTTGCTAATTAACTTTAATTAATTAAATGTTCAGACTCACAGGAACGCGGAATCGAACAATGTTTCGGTTACGACTGTTTGGGGACCCCCGTACTGCACGTCGCTCACCGTGGTAGTAAATCAGTCTTGGAACTTGCCAACGTTCACTTACTTATCGTAGATAATTTACTGGCAAGGCTGCGTTCCGCAATGTTTTTAAACGTCCCTGTGTACACTGAATGCTGATTTCCAATACTGCGTCGTCAAACTTTACTAACTATTGAATCAAGTCGGGGTTTAAAATATTCTATAGGATTATAAAAATGCATAGAAATTATTCATCATTTGAAAAAGTAATCTTTGTATGACGTTTTAACATCAACAGTCGCGTAACTTCGGTGGAAGGCCGAGATACGGCGATTACCAATTTATAGCTAACATAACTCTGGTTTGAATTGAACGAGGAAGAGGAGTGACGTTTTTATTTCATCGGGAGTTGTAGAACAATACTATTAAACATTATTCAAGTCAAATGTGAATTATGGCCGCGTCGTCGGCGTGCGCGGCCTGCTGCTGATCCGACATGCTGAGCGCGTTGTTTGCCAAATAGTATAACGTTTTATCGTTCAAAGAGGAATGGATCGTGAGGATTTTTTACTGGGGTTAATTGCTATAATAATAGTACGATATCCGACGGTGAAACCCATTACCATAGCTTGTGAGAAAAGGTTTTACCTACATGGAGCGATGAGAGAGAGACATAGCCAGCGGCTACGGTACCATCGATCAGTAAAGATCGTAAAGAATATACGACAAGCATGTAACGTAAACCGAATGTTAAACAACTTCACTAGTCGACGTCTTACGTTGCCGTGAACGACAAATTGAACCAACTTGTTACGATGTAATGACTGAAATTATTTATTTATTTCACTTCGACAACAAATGTAATAAATACATACTAAGTATCCTGGAAGTCGGCATATTGGAGTTGTTGGTATAAAAAAAATACATTTAGAAAGTTTATCCAAGGATAATCAGTCAATGAGGTAATCGCATTGTTGGGGGAGGATGGACAGGAGTGGTTGCAACATATACTATGGCTGTACTAGGGATCTTTGAGTGTATGTCGACAACATACGACTTACAACGTAGTGACCATTATAACTTTTATAAAATACGCACCAATTCGGTTGCTTTAACTGATCCATATCATTGTTACAATATGAATATACACCATAACAAGAAAGGCAGTCATTGCACGAGAAATAAACTTAAATGTTCGCCTTCGCCTCATTACAAAACGCAACATGCTGCGGATGTACATTCCGTATGATTCACCGAATACACCAAAATAACAATTTCAAAATGTTCCGTTTACTCCGTTTTTTTTTTCCAACAAAAAAATAAAATCTTCAAAGGATGCGAGCTTTTTGTTCATTGGTTAAATACACAACCAAATTATACCGATGGGCAAACTAAGGCCCACACGCTTAATTGGTTTCTAAAGAAGATAAAAATAAAGAAAAAGTTAATTTAGAAAAAAAGTAACGAGTTTCGGTGAGTGACGGTAGGCACCTGGCGCGGCGTGTTTCCGCCTTGACAATAGTGGTCTCTATATATTACCAACTTAGTGATACACGCAATTAACTTGTGTTTACGCTACGACAAAAATCACTTGGAACTCCTCGTCCTGTTGCCAAAACACAACCACAGTGCGATGATTTTCAAGCAACATTCATAATTTATAGTTTCAAGGTTTAGAATTAATGATCTTCACAAATCGTAAATTGTCTTCTGAATTAGCTGACTTTGCTAGTAAATTACGTGTTTATTTTTTTTCGAAGATATTATCTAGTTTGTTAAGAATTCAGTCGAAGTTCAACGTCTCTTTTAAATAAAGATGACAGCCTCCTCGTGGTATATCACTGAGATGTCAGCTAAACCGGCTATATAAAGTAGAGCCGAATGGATGATGAGGTCTCTATAGAGACGGGCCACTACACGCTGTCAACACGGCCATTGTCCCCAGGATAATAGTAACGTAAACAAGGGGCAAATAGTACTGACGGAGCTTTTATTTGAACCCTATCGAAATACCAGTCCTATGGAAACAACCACCACCACTGAAACCCCCGCGTTTAATATCTGATTTTTGAATAATTCTCGGCCGAATTGTTTCCACTTAAAGTTACGCGGTACCGTGAACGCTTCGACCGTTGGTAGGCAACTGCTTATAGTGGTGTGCCAAACAAAGGGGCGATGAACTGACCGTCAGCGTACAACAGGTTGTTTTGAGTGAGCAAGGTCCTTTATCGCCGCTATGTATATAACAGTGAAGTTCGGTTCTAACCAGGCGCTGTTGTTTAATCCTGCATGTGCCGTCGTCAATCTTTTGACGAATATCAAGGCGAGATGTGGCTACGCCGACACTGACGTCATGCTCGATCTTTCGGACGAGACAGGTAAAAATTAAACACACACTTGGGTATGTTTTGTTGCGTTGCTACCAACGCTATGGGCGTACTTAGGGAGCCAACCCATCATGGCGGCCACTCCTAATGGGTCCATTTGTTGACGACTCTGCTTCACTATACACTGACAGAGCGTTATTTTAACAGCTAGGAAAGTCAATTAACAAAAAGGGGGGGGGATAATTAAATTCTGAAGTCCTGGTCTAGAATCAGTTGTGTGACTGACTGTGTATGGCCCGTTTATTGTCATAAATGTGGGGTTTTCAATGCGAGTCCGTATCCGGATAATATCAGAGTGTAAGCTTACCGGAGGTGACATGCCTTCTTCGCAACTCTGCAACTCTATTAAGATGCAAGTTGTTTTTTGAGCAATATCCGATTGCCCGGGGCTAGAAACTATGGGGTGCCGCAACGAATAAGTAACACGGTTAGAAAAAGCACGTAGTAATTTGGAAAATTCCACGGTTACCATTGTAGGGTCGCAAGAAAAAAGAAAAGAAAAATGTTTCAGTACAGTTGTAGTCCATATTAGACGGAATTAGTTTCATGCCTGGCCGCCATCGAATAGATTAGGGAAAACAGCGACAACATTCTTGCGCAGGGAAAAACGAGTTGCCGTGATGTGTGCATGCAGTAGTTCCATGTACATTGATCGCAAACATAAACCATTCATACGTCCGCATTGAAGGAGACGAGGCGCTATTGTTGAAGGTGGCTACATCTATTGATGTGCTGCCTTCGAAACAAATGGCTAGGCGATTGAAAAGTAAAACACAGCAAGGACGACTGGGCCATGATAAAACCTAGCTTTCACAAAAACTGACACACAAAAGCGTCCGTGTTTGTGTACGTGCTGACATGTTTAACCGCTTTAGCCTGACCGTTGGTACACATTAACTTGGCTGTTATCGCCACAAGGCGACCAATAGAGCACGTAGAACTGTACATTCAATACTCAAACACCAATCCAAGTTAATCAATTGGATACGGGTTAAAAATAACCAACACGGCTGTAAATGAAACAGACATTCGCGTCAACGTTTAAATACAGCAATGAACATATAGACTGAAATCCGCGGGGTGGGAAATATACACCACAGCAAGGAAACCCGAGACTTTTGCGTTCTATTCACGTGTTTGTTGAACAAATATAAAAACAACACTCAGATAAGAAACACCCTCTTAATTAAAAGTTAATGTTTTTATTTACGTGTAGATAAAGTGACCGTTACAATTCTAAACTCGGCTATATGCAGCAAAAAAACAAACACATTACAACTTTGTTTTTTAATCCAGATTATCTGAATACATATTGAACTTGTGTCCTTTAGCAAAAACTGGTTCGTATGCACATGGAGCTAGGTATGCACAAATACAACCGAAGTGTGGATTCTTTTTACACCGCTTGTTAATTAAGTGTGATCAATTTCACTCTCCGTGAAGCATGCACGGCCGAGCTATTGAAATCATCGCATTTGATATCGACGTCCTCTAACGTTGTAGCCACCGTTTTTTACCCAGTCTTCGACACATACAAAAGCGATCGATTAACTTATTTCCCTTCCACGCAGGATATTAATAAATAATCACACAAAAGTCGTGGCGCGAAAATGGAATGAAAAAAAAGAAGTTTGCGTTTAATATTTAAAATAAAAATCTTGCATTTGTTGTTGTGTATCTCTCTCCATTTGATGGTGCACTCACCCCGCTAGGAGTTAAGCCGGAAAGTCACGAATTATAATGCGCTTATACCGGTCATTATTAAACGCTATAATACAAGTAATAACAGTAATGTAGTCTCCCGGCATCAACTCACACACGGGGAGCACTTGGGACAATGTATGAAAAGAAAAAAAATATCAATTATTTATGCTGTTTTAAAATTTCATTCTGCTATGGATTTGAATGTACTAATTTCATGCAACATTTGTATAGAACGCGCTGTTTGAACCCTGGGTGATGGGACTGCGTGAAGATACAACTCTGAAAATGGATAACTCGGGCAGAGATTAAGCGTGGATACCGTGCCCCGGGAGATAGCGTTACTCTATTGAAGGAAAGAGAAAAAGAGGGTATAGGCTGGAAAACTTACAATGAATGAAACAGTAATCCGTTTATAGCAGAAAAAAATAGTGTGCCCCCTCTCCCTGTCACCGCAGGTCTGACTCATCGATGTTGCATAGAACACTCTTATAATTCGCGTTAATTTAAACGAGCCAAGCTACTATAACAATGATACGATATCGGTTGTACTGAACCAAGGTGCAATGAAGTTGATATGATGTCGGCACAGGTGACTCTACCGCCGCAGTCAGCGGGCGATACTCGGCTGGTGGCAACACAATCACCGGTGTCGAGGAACAGACAGTGTTGTACGTAGATCGTTGTTCGATGCAAACAAAACATTAAAACCAGACTTTTCGTGTATTTGTGATATCTATAGCGATTAATATCAGATTAATGTTGTGAACATAAAGGATTAGTCATGTTTAGCACACTCGAAGATAACATTGATTAAAATTCGACGTAGGACTACCTAAAACTTGAGACTTTACGCGATGTTCGAATTATGTTTTCTTCTTACCTCTGTATGTACCTGAAAAAAATAATTTGACAAAATGAATTCCAACAGAACAAACCTACGAGTAGAATTATTCGAGACAGACAGACAGGCAGACAGACAGAAAGACAGACAGATTTACATATCTACGGTGAAAAAATGAAATTTTTTTGGCGCGAAATCTGATTTAAAAAATGAAGAATGGCATGACTTTGCAATATATTCATTGCACTTTGCTAAATTTGGCTGTTGTGTACTGAAATTGATGCTGAAACGATATGAACAGCAGTCGGGCCAGGTGGTCGCCTTAGCACTGGGCCAGGGCAAGTGTTATTAATGCTGGTATTATTGGAGACTCGGGTATATCGTCACATTCTACAAACGTGTCAGTTCCTTATTCACATCAATCAAAGTTAAGCCGCCTTTTGATCTTATTGAAACACAAAATACCGTAATTTATGTTTCACTTATGAAAATTGGGACGAGGGAAAAAGCTCAAAATTGCTTGCAAAATTGAAAAATTGTAATTTCAAGAAAATTGCAACAAAGGACAGTTTAGAGGTGTGAAAAGAGAATACTTCCGTTTCTCGTAAACGGAGGAAAATGTCGAAATACAAAAAAAGTGATAAAATCGCGTATATCTAATATCGTTATCAAACACCCCGGATATTAATTTGAAATAGTCCTATTGTTTTGTATCACCAACCAGGCTATTTTACGAACTACGAAATAGTACACTAAAACACATATTCGCAGAATTAGCAGCCTTAACAATCTTTGCTATTTGGAAACCGGAAACGAATTATACACAGGAACGAGGCCGGGGACATCGCGTTGTTAATTGGAGTTGTAATGAGAAGGAAATCCCAGCGAATTTATCGTCATTGTCATACACTTGCCCCGGTCTGGAAAAAAACTGTAGACAAAAAATTTAATTCCTGATTATTAAACATAAAAGTGATCAATGCTTTGTACTGATAACTACTAAAAGTGGCGTATCGCATGGAAGCCAATTCTGATATGGATTTTTTTTTTCGATTTTGCGTTTGAGAACCCAGCATTGATTGGTAGGAAAAGTAATTCCTTTTTGTCTGGGGACAGGGTAAATTGCTGGCAGTGGGCGCTGTACTGTCATATTCATCTACATTACACGAGTACGACACCGGCTTGGTAACTCCCCGATCCCGAGCATCGTTGAGGTCAAACGGTCAAGACGAAATCTCTCGGCCCAGTGTTGTAATAATGAATTTCAGGTTATAATGAAAAAGAGTGCTTGGAGATTGACAGGATGAATTTCGTGCAAATTGTTACTATTGACTTCCATGGTGTATTATTGTTAAACCTGTCACTCACCGTCCGCATTGAAGCAGTTAGACATCTATTTTGGATTTCCGATATTTAGCCCAAGTCGTATTTTACAAATAGACAATATTACTCGTCCCTATCTCCGTCTTTGCTGTCATTTACGGTCAATTCCCACGTCGCACGCATGATTTAATACTGTCGTCAACATATACAACTTTCGGCGAACTCTTAAAGAGCTGCGATCTCGTTTGAGAGCTACAACTTGACATTAAACAAACCCTTAGTCTTCAAATTGGTAAAAAGACTGATCAACATAGAATTAATTAAAAGTACCACATATAGCTTCAACGGTTAAACAATGCGATTCTGAGACCGCTTTCAAATATACCTTTCACATTTAATAATTGATTCAAAATGTTTTTTGATTAAAGTTCATGTTCGGGGCAGTATCAATAATACCACTAAGACGCCAACATGATATTTCGACCTTTCCAGCAATAATAGCAAAGTTGTTAGCAAGGGGAGGATTTACACCCAAACTTGTACCATACAATATCATGTACGTGTGTATGTTTTTTTTCAGGATTGGTCAAGGAACTGGACGCCCACCGCAGTGATTACGCGGACAAACACCTGGATGCCCTAAGAACTTATATATTGGTTGAGAAGCAACACGTACCCCCCGAAGAAGACGATGCCAAGCATCCGATACACTATAAGTATGTGCCACTACTGGAAAAATGCGAGGACCTGCTACCTGATTATAAAGTACACGTGGCTAACCACCCGGGTCTGATAAGTAAAAATAAGAAATCTCCGGCTCTTAAGCGGAAAAAGCCGAAGCGACCACGAACGCGCCACGAACCTTCGCCGTCGTGATAGCTGGAGGAGTTTTCCACTGAGGGGATAGCTGTATATTACGATTTCAACTTTTGAGAATATAACGGAAGTTAGAAGAAAGGTTATGGAATAAACCAATCTACACATCAGACTAATGTTCGAGTCATCTTAGCTCAAATAAGCTTATTAACAACATGTATACTTTAACGAAGCAAATGTGGCAACAAATGATTATTTTTTGAAACTAATAATTTTTTTATTTTTTATTTAAACCGAAATTTGTCTTTGTTCCTACCATTTTAGAAAAAAAACTAAAAAAGTGTCTGTTTTTCCGATGCTTCCACGTGCTCTGTGGGAAGTAAGTTTCATACAGTACGTATTGTTGGGGATTCAACTATCACCGTGACAGTCAGTTTTCAACATCTGAGGAGAAAACAAAATAAGAAAATTAAACTAAGAAAGACAGTTGGTAACATATATAAATCGACTCATCTTGTTGTTTGCGAGCCCTGGATTGGATGTCCCTATTTACATTTAACAGTTTGTCAATTTCATCGAGTTGACCTCGTATGTTAATATATTAATCTGTATAGTTCATAATATTACATTTCGCGAAAATCAATTTAATCTTAAACAAATTTCAATAAATCTAATTACGTATGAGATACACACATTTCAAGAGCCTCTCATCAGCAAGTCTATTTTAAAATATTAGGCGCAAAGAAAAGTCACAAAGCATCTGTTTTGTTTTTCTTTAAACTTAGAGTCGTTAAAATAAAAGGTCACTTTAGATAACAACCGCGACGTTCATTTTTCCATGATTACCACAATTATCAACTGAACGGTGTCCAGCATTGTAGGTGGTGTAATGTATGTTCAATTTAAAAGCTTTAAAGTGAATACTAACACATCACCACTTCTTCCAAATACCAACAATCGCAGCGCTAAAAAACGACCATCATCATCAAAATCCAATCTCGTTCAAAAGTGAAATGAATAAAACATTTCGTGCCGTCGCAATGAAAACGCAATTAATATGCGTAACGATTAACGGCGCGGTAACGTAGTCGTAATAATGATATTAGATATAGTAATCGTCAATACAGTGGTAATTAAATAGACATGATGAACCCGCTGGTTGGGAACGCAGAGTATGGCATCGATTTCATTTACCGCGACCCGTATCACTCGGTGGTACAGAGAATGTGCTTAGTACTCGCAATGCTAAAATAAACGTGTTTTCAGTATTAATGCGTCGCATTGAGTCGAACTTATTTTTTTTAAAAAGCAGTTTACAGATTCATAAAAATGAATTTTGAAGTTAATTTTGAATGAAATAAACATTATTGAGGATTTTTGTTGCAAGGTAACTTTTTAATAAGAAAATGAGACCAAATTTACACATATATACATTTCCAGTTAAACTATTATGTGCAACGGAATTGCTATTTTAGTTTTATTAACGACAACATCATTGATTTACGCAATGTTTACAGAAATAAATTAACTTGGATTTGTTTTGTTTTTTATATTTAAGAGCAATATTAATTATCATTATTTAATTGTTTAATATTACACTTTGTTTGATCGTTGTTTGATAAGAGGTTACTGATTTTGTTTTGTTTTTGGGCCCGAGAGTGTGAATAAACGTACACTACATGTGTGTTATTGGAATTAGCAGACATTGTATTATATGCGGCCAAACTTTTCAAATGTTTTATTGCTGCTTCTAATGAAACAGAACATGTAACTTCATTTTTCTGAGAATGATCAGTTCTAGAAACGCAGATCTTTATTTTTGACTCACTGATTCAGTAGCCATGTACTTCAATACATTCCGTTTTATGTACTAGTACCGTCCACTTTGTTTTGTGATTAACATTGAGTTATTGAGCAATGTATATATATGCAATGTTATAATCCCTGTTTTACCTTCATGCTACATCTATACACTTTGTGATTATGTCGTCAGAAGTGTATATTTTTAATAATCAGAATAAAATAATATTCTTATATTCATTAAAATTGCTGAACACAATACGATATTTGCGTTGGTTACCCGGACCTAACAGCTGAGATGCCAGGATATATGCACACCATGTAATTTAGCTGGTGTATCTTCACATTTACATACGCTGCTAGAGAAATACTCTATGATACGCTCACATCTGCAGATGAGTATGATTTTTATGTTGATTTGTATATTATTTTAATGTACAAATACTTTGGGCATTGTAATTCTTGATTGTCGTTTCTGTATTACAGAATTAATTGTCGAAAATCGAAACCGGGATGTTTTTTTTCCTTTTTATGGGCTAAAAAACTACATGTGTATCGAAAAATAGCGTGAAAATTGTGTTTACATCATATGTGATAACTATTGATGGTATTTTATGTCTTGTAACAGACCAAGCTTTGAGTCAGAGCACATGATTGGTCAGTTCAGGTAAGAGAACAATCAATCAAAGTTGTCTACTCTCTAACGCTTTTCATGAATTACACTTTTGGTAATTGTCCTGGTCGTTTCCGTTGTTCTGTTTAAAATAACTGTACCACGTGACAACTAACTGACAAATTCAAAGTATCCGGGTCCCTGGTTCCAATGTAAACGTCACGTTATATCATATCGGTTACACAAGCAAGGAACAACATAGACAGGAAGTATGCGGAGTTTGTAATGAATTCCTGCTCACTGCGCAAGTGCATCTGGTGCTGGCTGAAATACCGTACGCCTTGGGGGTTTCTTCATTTCTTTCTCGCTCTTATTTGGCGCCTACAAAAATAGATAACTATCTTTTCTGAGCTGTCGAGGTATATTACGCAATTGCTCGCGAGATCTCGGTGATTCGACAACTCGTCTGGTAATTATTACAATATTACCGCTGCCATATTCCATCAAATCCTACGTAATGAATAGTGGCATATCCGTCTGTCTCGAACATAAAATAAAAATATGACGGATATTGAATAAACTCCTTTCGCCAACTTTTATATATGAGGTATGATGACAAGATTTTTTTTTTTACAAACGCAATAAAAGAAGTAACTATCATTTCAAGAGGAAACACTAACAAAATTAAATTTGTCAAGAATGCCTGACAGATGTGATATTGGAATAAAATAAATGTGATTTAAAATTACGAGTTGTTCGGGATATCGAGCCATCAATATACTGCACAGATGTAGAACACAGGGGTGCCTGGATATATACTGGCATAGTACACGTGGATGACTGAAAATTCCGACGTGTACCTTATATTTAGGTAGAAATAGCAAATATAGAAACAACATTTGTATATGCGAGTTACGATTGTCGGCACTCGGGTTACGTGAGCAAATACAAGTTTTCCATGTACTCATGTTGTACTGTACCGAGTTTAGAAGTCAAGACAAGTTTGAATTTCCGGAACACCCATGCACTCCCTGTATTCATTGAGCTGTGTTTGGGGGGGAGGGGGAGGGGTGTTTATCTGCCATTCTTACTATATACAGAAGCCACACGGTATAGATAAGTTATCACAAAGCATAAAAAAACATCGGGGTATATTTTTGCGTACCAATTAAATGAAATGACTCCACATATCCGAAAACTACCGAAAAACACGCACATATTAATCTGTCATTCGGTAAATCTTCTACTCAAGCGTCGCCGTAATGAACATATAGCCTGCGTCACCGTTATCCGCAGCCACGAATGTCTGATTCATGTGCGGCTTATTGGGCTACTGTGTCCGTGCATGCTTATCAGCGAAATTCTGCCACCACGTCTAATTAACGAATCACATTGCAATTTTTGATTGGTCACGTTGTGGAAATCAAAACAAACGTGCATGTCAGGAAAAAAAGTGACCGGAAAATAGATCGGAATTTGTATATGAGTCCGTTCGACGAAAGATTCGTGAAAAAAAGAAAAAAAAAATTAGTCTAAAAGTGGTGTAGGGTTTCACGTCGAAAGTAAACTTGACATTTTGAACAGAAAATGTTTTTGTGTTATTTACTCATATATCATGTCATTTGAGCGGAGGCCATTCCTAATTAATCACTGCCGAAGTAATCATCATCATAACGTAATTGTACTTTCTATAAGATCAGTGAGGTTCGCCGACACCGAGAGATCGAAATGTTTTTCGAGGGATCAACGTCACATGACCTATCTAATAACAACATTCTCAGTTTGGTAGGAATAGAAAAAGTTTATGATTATAAATAGTTCGATGTTGTTGGCAAGACAGAAATATTTAACGGAGTGAAAATGAGTTCTCGCTTAATGAACTTCCAATAAAGAGCGCACAGACTTTATTCAAGTAAGTAATCAATTAGCGGCAAAAGCAACGTCATAATTCATTGTTTTACTACCAAGCAATAAAAATAGTGGAATTTGAAGTTCAAAACCAAGGGAGATGGTGGTTTCCGTATCCAATGGAACATTAAACGCGCTAAGGTAGTGTAGCATACGTAAATATTAAAAATAAATATATATATACTATTTAATTAAAAACACCGATGAGGCGGAACCGTTCTTTTTCTTGGACATCAAAGGCAGTTAGTTTTATAATTGAATTTGATAGCTGGAAATATGCGTTATTAATAGTAAATTAAAAAAATAGTTATGACAACTGACGAGGTGCTAAAATTGAGTTTGGATTGTTGAGGAATATGAAAAAAAGTAACCCGCATAAAGCAATAATTGGGTAGTATTATATGAAATGAACCACCATATATTGTGTGTCGATATCACTACCCCGAGGACCTTTTTTACTTGGACTTCTGGGAAAATAAGTATTGGTTTCTCGGTAATTATTTGAAAACTCACAATCTGTCAGTTTCTGTTCATCATATTTCGTGTAGAGGTATCGAGTTACCTTCGTAGGACATCACATCATACCAATGCAGGTCGAGCGTTCAGAGTCTGCCCGAGAAAAAAAAAACGCAGAAAGACCGGCGCTAACGGCAAGGAAAAACCGCAAACGTGGAAGGCAATTTACGCCGAGTCTTCTGAAGTAGAAAGTACAATTTCCTCCGGCGTTAGGCATTCGTGGTAACGTCGAAATGAAAATGCTTTTATGATTAGTTATGTCGAATTAGGGCTAGAATACACAACCTTAATGTACTCTACTCGGAGACAGCCCAGTGAAATGTACTACAGTCAGGTGGTGCGATGTGATGGACAGGTGGAATGAAATGAAACGCATAACTTTGTTAACACACCCTCGTATGTCGCTGGGTCGTGTTGAATATTTCTCTGATTGCGGTTACCAATTTTGTCAATAAATCTGTTGCAATATACAAGTTCTCCTTGTGGCGGGGTTAGGAGGTGTTTTCGGTCTCATAGGGACACTTGAACAGAGTGGCATTCGATTATAGAATTATTTCAAATCCACAGACATTTGGGATAGCCGCCAGCCAACCTTGGCTCCACCTGAAACCGACAAGCGTGAAATAAAATGATGAACGCCGAAATTCCCCGATCGCGTTCGATTCTTACGCTTCTTTTGGCAGCCCAAAGACAGGTGTAAGGTTTGCTCTTGCTCTAATGTAGCGTGGCCTCTCTTTCAGCTTTCATACTCCCCGGACAGAACCGCAGAACGTTCTTCCATGATCAGCCTCTTTAAATAAAACCATGCAGGTGAACTAGAACGAGCGACGCGGCCGCCGGTGCGACACAGCCATCATCCGCCCAATTTTCGCCATTTCCGGTGTGTATTACGATGAGTTCACATGCGTATTCTCTCTATGCATGCACAAACTTCGCGAAAGAAAAAAAAACCCGCAACATTCCGATTTAGTCCCTAGCATAATAATGGAATCCAAAACGAGCGATATGTCACGATCGTTACTGCGCCGCAAATGTCTTCGCTTGGTTCATGATAAGAATAGTTGTCAGAACGGAGTTATTAAATAATAAAAATATGTCATGGACACGATCTTAATTTACGGCCTATGCTAGAAAATGCATTGGTTTACTCGATGCCGGTAATTACGGTATAATACGATTACTTCCCAAGAGCAGTGGACTCACTGTTGGACACGTGTACGGGGCATATTGCGTTGTTGTCAAAATGAACATATAGTCATTCCCAAGACACTGTACTGAGCGGTTTGATTACGACCCCACACTGGGCCCAATATGTCCCAGCAATAGAAAGCATACACACACAGTGTTTGTCTTGTCAGTCTGAAGTTACCAGTTTTTTTTCCGGTGCCAATCGTGGAACATTCGACTTGTCATTGAAATTGCACAAAGCTAAAAAGAAAATGTCAGTTTGAGTCGGTTTCAATTGTGATTGCGTGTGCACTGGGAGGACGATTTCTGTCAACATTGAAATTACCTGCCCTACAACTGACCGCAATGCTGCAAGGCAGGTTGGTTGAAGGATCCCTAAAGCAGGTCTAACTTTATTTAATACGACTTGAATGTTTACGATCTATCCTGCACAACCAAGCTTGAATAATATTTCAACATTTCAACCTAAAGCCGAGTACATTGACGCCGAAGACAGTGTATATGCATGGCCGCGGTGATGATGACATGATGTAAAAACAAGGGCGATTACGCAATTTCTGAATATGCACACTTTTCAACTAATGGTAATTATTTTGAGAAATAAAAAAAAAATGAGTAGTTGACATCCGTTGATGTACTGCCATTAATGTTTTCATTTCTCACTTTCGATTTCACACCAACGCCTGGAGGAACGAAATAACAAACGGCACATTTCAAACGTTCATTAGAAGAACGTACATTATATGTCAATTTATCGTGTTCTTTCAATTAACGCAAGTATTCTCCATGTATTTTAACAAACTTGTTTTAACATTCATGAGCCTAAAAAGTGTAAACCACAACTTCTACATCAAATACAGAATTTGTAAATTAAAAATAAATATTAATCACAATAATCCAAAAAAAATAAAAAATAAAAAATACCTAATATAAGGCATCGAAAGAAAACAACAAAAAAGAAAACAGCCGCACGCCTGGGGTGACAAGAAAACACACCGGCGATGCAATACAACAAAAGATTCAA